AAGGGATTGTGGCGTGGCCATCCCCCCTGGGGGGTGATTTCCCACTTTCTGTCTCTCTCTGGCGAGTACATTTGCCCTATTGCAAAAACCTCAACAAAAATTAAAAAAAGAAAAAAAAAGAAAGTGAAAAGGCAAGCTGCTAGGTCCAGGGCTCAAACCACAGTCAGCCATGTGGGAGTCTTGTTCTCCAACCACGACAACACCTGTCAGCTCCGTATGTACACTTTTTATTCCTCGATTAAAAAATAAATTAATTCAGTGCAAGAAGTAGGAGGCAAAATGAAATCTACCATGTATTTAATGAATATGTACATGGACAAGTCTGAAAAGGAACACAATAGAAGAGAGAGGAAGGGAAAGCGAGGAAGTAACCTGCCAGGTCCGGGACCCCAACCATGGTCGGTCATGTGGGAATCTAGTGCCTTTTTCCAGCATGCCACCTGCCGGCCCCTAGATAAAATAATTTAACAACAGCAAAATCTACTCTCTTAGCAATTTCAAGTACACAATATGTCGCTATTAACTATAATCACCATGGTCTATAACGATTCCTGCACTTACTCTTCTTATCTGACATTTTATATATATGTATTTTTCAAGAGATTTTTGTTATAGGATACATGTGTTGAAGAGACAGAGAGACGGAAAGCGAGAAATCACCCCCAGGGTGGGATGATCACACTGCAATCCTTTCTTCATCATTCTCCTCTCAGGATTTTGGGCATATGCGCACATGTGCCCAGAGTGAGTTTTAAGCTTCCGGGATTGAACTGCAGTTGACTATGTGGGAGTCCAGTGACATAACCATGACACCGTCCATTGGTCCCCATTTTATATTTTGAGTATTTTCCCACATTACTATTTAATCTTCATGATTATTTCATTTCTTTGCATTATACCACTAAATGAATTCATTACAATTTACCTACCATTTTGCCGGCGTTAGATGCTTTTGCTGTCCCCTGAGGTGTGGCCACTACCCGTAATGCTATCACACTCCCTCCACACAGTTTTCTTCCTGTTGAAATACACCCCTAGGACAAACGTTCCGTAAGCGAGTTACCGGGTGAAAACAATGAAATCGTTTTGCAGTACTGCCGACTGCTTTTCAAAAAGGCTGACCGATGTTCAGGGTGTTGTCACTTTCTGATACACTGAGTCCTAGTTCTTGGAGATGGGACACATTCGTGGTGTGTGTTCAGGACCGGCCAGGAGAGAGCTGCAGAAGATGGAAGGTGTCATGACTCTAAACACAGGTATGCACGCTGTCCATCATGCTGTGCTGACTCTAGCGTGGAAAACTAAAGCAGCATTATACGGCCCCCTCCCCATGGAGACCATTAAAGTTAGATGAAGTCATGAGGGTGGACCCTGACTGAAGGGATCAGTGTCCGCGTTAGAAGAGACACACGCCCCTTCTGGCCTTCTGGTTAAAATCAAGTGAGAAGACACAAGACAGCCCTTGCAGTCTGTCATGCCTTCTCACACTGTCTCCCCCCACGGCACTGGGAGTGTGTGCACACACATGCAGAGACACGCACAAAGGCCACGTGAACATGGAGCAAGAAGGTAGCTGTCTACAAGCCAGTATGAGAGTCCACACCAGCAACCACATTTTCCGGTCACCCTGTCTCAGACATCCAGTTGCCAGAGCCGTGAGCAAATGAAAGTCTGTCATTTGAGACCAGCAGTTGGCATAATAGCTATGTCACTGCACTCCCATGTAGTTGACCACGGTTCAGACTCGGTGACTTAAACTCACGCCGGGCGTGTGTGTGTGCTTGCCCAAGATCCCAAGAGGAGATTGGAGGAGAAGGGATTGCAGCATGGTCATCCCCCGGGGGATGGGGGTGATTTGTTGCTTTCTGTCTCTCTGTCTCTCTCTGTCTTTCTGGCAAGCGCACAGGCCTTATAGCAATAAACCTCGCCCCCCACCCCCAAATAAAAAAGGAATGTACTCTGGGTGGCCAGCAGAGGGCCTGGCATTTTGTAGGTGCTAATAACTGTTTGCTGAATGAATGAAAAATGAATTTTCAAAATAGCAAGACCCTCGTCCAGCATACTGACGGTACAGAGAACACTGAGGTCCAGCTCTTCCCAGGAAAGCACCCACATACATCAGGCTGGATAGAGGATGGCCGAGGAGACTGACCGCAGTCGTCAGATGCAGGTCTGCAGGTGGAGAATGCAGCAGCAGTAAGCGAGATGGAGCCACGGGGAGGACCCCATCAGGGTGCACGTTTGAGAACACTGTGCCGGGAAAGAAGGCCACTTGCCAAGACAGGGATCTGGGTTGGAAGAGACGGCCCCGGCGGAGGAGATGCAAACAGGGACAAAGCGAGACTGGGCAGGAGACGGGGAGGCGGTGAGCGCAGCCAGTCTAAGAAATTCCGTGTACCTCCCTCTGCCCAGACCAGGGGAAGTTCCTTCGGGAACCCTGAAAGAGCTCCCAGACACTAGGAAGCCAGGGTTCTGGGGTCTTCACTATGGAATTAGAGGAAAGATGAGGCCGTCAAGGCAGCAGGTGCTAGGGAATCCAAGCAGGTAAGCACAAAGCAGCCTCGGGGGCTGGGGCTGACGACCAGGGCAGCCCCGTGGCCCTCCACCCACAGATCCCGAGACCTGGGGTGGGGTGGGGTTGGTAAGCGTGCATACCCCAGGACTTCCAGCCATTTCGTCCATAAATAAGCTGCAGAGCATAGTACCCTATCCCCAGAGAGGCAGGGGGCTGGGGGGGACTTGCCGGGGAGGCTGTACTCCTTAATTTGACAGCACTGCCTGCCTCTCCCGGTCCTCTGAGCAATGGGCCCACAGTCCTTAGTTACCAATAAACTGCAGTGGAGTGAAGAATAAATGGCTAGACCTGAAAAAATTTTCTGCAGAGGCAGATGAGGGAAATGTGAAAATTGAAAGAGAGAGAGAGAGAGAAAGAACTAGAAGAAGATATCAGGGAAAGAAAGGTCCGAGACTTAGGCATAAAAGAAAGGCTGATGCCATGATGGAAAAGCAGATGTATTTGACTATAGAAACACGTAATTAAAAAAAAAAAGAACCTGTAACATAAAGTAGAGCTCACCTTATACTAGAACTAAGATTTTTGCCTGTGGATTATACACAGTCCCTGGTGCAAAAAGGGCTCAGCCATGTTTACTTGCAATGTCAACAGAACAAGTTCAGAATGCTGACGCCCAGAATGCACATAGGATGACGGGGGATCCCCACCCCACCCCCTTCTGCGCTCCTTGTCATCTGATAAACGCCTGACAACGCGTTTGCAATTCTGTCTCAACCACACCGTCCAGGGCCTAATTTCACTAAGAGACTGACCCAGTCCCACTGTTCTGAGGGGCCCAGAATGTGGGAACTGCAAGGGACCATCTGGGCTACCTGGCGTCATGACCGCGTGCGGATGGGGAAACTGGCACACAAGAAAAGCGGAGGCTCAGCTCCAGGTCCCCTGACAGCCAAATGTCAGCTCTACTGCATCACTTCCTTCCCTCCGTAACTCTACTCAAGGTCGAGTCCCCACTTCGCTCTTCTGTCTGCTAGAAAGCCGTCAGAAAACACTCCATTTCAGGCCTGGCCCAGCCCTCTTTAGCAGGCAGGATTCCAGCCATCAGACTGACTTCACAGGCCACGCCTCGCCAACTGGGGCGGGAAGGAAAGGGACTGGCCCTCACACTTGCGTACATAGCTTCATTCCAAAGGCTCTTCCCAGCACAGGTCTCCCTTGATCTCCAGGGTTCCATGTAGAATTCCTAACGAGGTCCTGAATCACTGTAAACAGATAGAATGACTGATGCTATGACACTCCAGGCAGTGCCCCATCCTTGGGTAACTTCCTGTTCTATAGAACTGTGAGGTGTAAGAGGCCTTCACACTTTTTTTTTAAGAGAGATTTTTACTAGAGGGCCCATGTGCTCACCAGAGAGACAGGGAGAGACAGAAAGCAATAAATCAGCCCCCCGGGGGTTATGGCCACACCCTGATCTCTTCTCCATTCTCCTCTCGGAATTTTGGGCATTTACGTACAAGCACTCGGTGTGAGTTTTAGGCCACCGGGTCCAGGACTTGAGCTGCGGTAGGTTACTTGGAAGTCCAGTGACATAACCATTACACATGCCACTGGTCCCCAGTCCTTCCCATTTTAAAGACAAGAAAGCAGCCTCGGAGGAATGGAATGACTTGCTGGAGAACACGTGGTTAGTGAGCTACAAGCCTTGGGTGACCAAGGGTGCCATGGCTGGTCTGCTGGTATCTAAAAGCCTCAGGCCCCAATCCTCCAGCCTCCATTCGTTTTTGCCTAGGGCGGCCACCACGGCCAATACCTAAAAGCCTCTACTTTCGTCTCTAACTGCAAAACGTGTCCAACTGAGACTTCCCTGCAACCCACTGTGCACACAGTTTGCAAAGGGAGGATCTGTGGAGCCGAGTGTCTTTACAGAGACAGTAAGAATCAAATTTCAAAGGGGCACTAGAAGGTTTTTTTTCTTTTCTGATTAGCCAATTCTTAGGATTACTAGGCTTCAACAAATGTTTTGCTCCTGTCCTCCCGCTCTAGTCCTCTGCCTCTGCGTCTCGCCCTTCAAGCCTGTTCGTTTCTGCCCTCCTAGAATTCAGGTCTGTGTGCACCAGTCGCCCAGACCTGGCGCCACGCTGGCCGAGACCCCGGAGGCGCTGGCGAGCGAGTGAGTGCATGAATGGTAACTGCAGCCCAGACCCTGCCCTCGTCTGGCCCAGCGCCAAGGCGAAGGTAGAACGTGTACTGGCGAGGGGAGTCAAGTACTCCGGGGTCCTGCGGTCCCGGAGAGCCACCCTGCCGACCCGGGGCTACGGGTGCGTGACAGCTCCGTCCCCCAGGCGGCCCGACCGGATCACACACCTGCGCGGGGTCGGCGACCAGCCCGAGACAAAGGGGCGGCGCCGAACGGAGAACAGGAACCGGAGGCCCGCACGAACCCCGGCTCTGCGTTCCAGGCGGCCGCGGGTCCGGGTCCAGGTCCGGCCGGTGCCGGGTCCCAAGCCCAGACCCGGCTCGCCCCTCGACGCCAGGCCGCGACCCCCTCACCGAAGGCGCCGGACACACAGCTCGGAACAACGCGGGGAAGCGACAGCATCGGCTGCTCTCCAGGTTCCCCGGCCTGCCCTCCGGCCCCTCTAGGAACCGGGAGGTTTCCGTCTCTGTGCCCCGGGCTGGAGTCCTCTCGGCGCCCTGGCCCCGCCTCCTTCCAGGTTTGCCCTACCATTGGCTGGGATAACGAAGGAGCTGGCAGAGTTCTGCCAATGGAAGGGAGGCTTTGAAAGGGGCGGAGCACGGGGCGGGCCCGGTCGGGGCGGGAAGAGAAGCCAATCAGCTGGATCCTAACGACTCCCTCCTGCGCGCGCAGCCGTGCCTGCTGCTGGGAGAGCCGAGGCCGGAGACTCCTCCTCCCGCACATCCCACGCCTCTCAGCCGCGGAGCCGGGATCCAGAGGGCCTATGGCCGCAATGCAAGCACTCCTCGAGCGCCTGCCTCGGCACGCGGACACGGCAGCGAAGACCCCGCCGCGTGGCGCTTAATCAAGTCCAAGGTTCAGTGACGCAGACACGCAGAACGTCGCGTGAGGGGACAGAGAGGGGTGGTGGAGGGACCGTTTTGTAGATGGCAGCCAGGGGAGGCAGAGACAGGAAGCGAGCGACTGAATCACGTGAACATTTAGGGGAAGCGTTCCTCCTTCCTCGTAGACAGAACATTAGAAGGCTTGAATCGGGACTGGGGAGGCAGGGACCACCCCGAGGACCTTGAAGGCTAGACAGGAGCTTGGGTCTGCTCTGAGTAACAGGGAGAAACAGGGAGCTCGCCGCTGGACAGCTCGGGCAGAGGAGTGCCACGCTAGTCACTTTTTCTTGCCACCGTCCGAAGAAGATTCATTAGCTGTGAGACACAGAAGGAACCAAGAAACGTGTTCCTGTAAGTTCTGTGGGTGCTTTGCTGCCTGTCCTTGGTCGTTCCAGCAGGAGCCTTGCATGAAAGGCGCCCGCCATGACTTTTCAGTGTGCCCTGTCTGCCCTGATGAGAACCTTTGCAGGTGCCCGAGAGTGGAGCCGGGGATGAAGAGGCTGTTGCAGTGATGGAGGTGGTGCGAAATGCCAGCGTGTGACAGGGGAGTAAACACGATGATGTGCAGACATAGGTTAGCCAAATGTGCACGTAGGCAGAAAATCTAAGAGGGCACAACCATTGAAGAAATGGCAAGTGTGCAGGGCTGACAGGTGGCATGGTGGCTGAGGCACTGGGCTCCCACATGGGCTACCACAGTTTGGGCCCTGGACTGGGCGGCTTGCTTTCTCATTTTCCTCCCTCTCTCTCATCAAATGAAAAATAAATTTTTAAAAAAGAGAAAGAAATGGCAAGTTTGCTGAAGAGAAGTCCCTCCCACCACACCCCAACCCCCTGCCAAAAGAAGGGGTGGGGGAGAAGGGGAATCATACAAGTTATCCCAGCTAACAGTCAAGAAACAATTCCCAAATTATGTGAACTCTTCCAGAGTAATGAAAGATTAAAAAAAAATCTTCCAAATTTAAAAGCTAGCAAAATACTACCAAATTTAACCTACTGCATCTAAGAAAAAAGACCTCAAATAGACATTATTTTAGGACTACAAGGAAATTTCAATTATTTGGAAATTTGTCAACTAAATGAATTGGGGTGAAAAAAGAAACCCTATGTACCTTCTGAAAGTACACTAATAAGGACAAAAAAGAAACCGTATGTACCTTCTGAAAGTACACTAATAAGGACCAGCAGGTGGGATGGTGGTTAAAGTGCTGGAGTCCCATATGTCCAGCCACAGTTTGAGTCCCAGAACCAGAGGTTTGAGTGCATGCATGCCCAGCACCCCAAGAGGAGAATGGAGATGAGGTTGTGGTGTGGCTATCCCCCAGACAGTGAGAAATCACTCTCTCTCTGTCTCTCTCCAGGGAACACACATGCCCTATGGCAAAATAAATAAATAAAATAAAAAATAAAACTAATAAACAACCCAAAAAACCCCAATAGATGAAAAAAGATGTGGTAGGACTTGGCAACATTTACTAATATAAACTAAGTATAGTAACTACTGCAGCATGTACTGGTACCAAGAACTGTTAAATCACTTTACACGTAATATTGTAATTTAACCTTCACAACTTTATGAGATAGCTTCGTTTTACAGATGGAGAAACAGACACAGAAGTTAAATGATTTATCCAGGGCCACACAGGTAGTAAAGTGACAGATCCAGGATGTGAACCTAGGGTGCTGGACATATTTGTGCTCTTAGCTTCCACTTTTTCCAAATAGAAGCCGGCAGGTGGTGCGGTGGTCTTGGCACTGGACTCCCACGTGGCCAGCTGTGGCTCGGTTCCTGGACCCTCTCTCGCTCTCTCTGGTGAAATTACAAGTTAATAACAATAACTTGAATACGTTTTTTAAAAGGAAATTTCAGTTAAATATACCAATTCATTACTTTCTTTTTTGAGAGAGAGATTTTTGCTATAGGGCGCATGCGCTCGCCAGAAAGACAGAGACAGACAGACAGAAAGCGAGAAATCACCCCCCGGGGGGATGGCCACACCGCAATCCCTTCTCCTCCGTTCTCTCGGGATCTTGGGCATGCACGCACGCACACGCGCCCGGCGTGAGTTTAAGCCACCGGGTCCGGGACACGAACCGTGGTCGACTACATGGGAGTCCAACAACATAGCCATTACGCTGACTGCTGGTCCCAAGAGTGGAGATTTTTAAAAGTATTTAACAACTGTTGTATACAAACTGCTATGTGCCGAAATACAGACAATATGAAAGTATACAGCTACATATATAACTTACAAGGCAATTTAAAAGAGCTGCATACTGTAGCACCAACTAATTCAAAGCACTAAGGTCAAATCGGTCACGTGAGATGAATCAAGAAGCACTTGGAAAAGGAAGTAATTCAGTGATGAGACAGATCTTCAAGGTTATGAGGGACATGTATTAGCAAACAGGAAGAAAAGGTTTTCTAGATAGGAAGCACAAGAGATGCAGGCTGGGGCCAGCAAGTGGCATGGTGGTTAAGGTGCTGGACTAACTGCTGTTTGAGTCCTGGACCCAGCTGAAAATCATGCCCAGCACATGTGTGTGCATGCCCTAAATCCTGAGAAGAGAAGGGAGGGGAAGAGATTGCAGAGTGGCTACCCCTGCCTTCCCCCATGGGGGTGATTTCTTACTTTCTTCATCTCTCTATCTCTCTGTCTCTCTCCTCTCTGGTGAACACATGCACCCTACGACAAAAACCTTAAAAAAAAAAAAAAAAAAAGAACTATATGCTAAAAAAAAAAAAAAGGACTATATGCTATAGATGAGAGAGTTTTAAAAATAGACCTGGAGGGCCATAGTCAAGCAGCAGAACAGAATGAATCCCTGTCCTGAAGAATGACTTTATATGTAAATGGTGGAACGGAGGAGCTTCAGCAGAACAGAGAAAACACCTCTGTCCCTGAGAAGCAGTCTGACTGTGGGATGCATGACTAAGAAATGAGATAGATTCAAGAATAGTTAAATTTTTTAAATAAAGGGAAAATGGAGTCTATGAGTAAAAAAAAGTGTACAGTTAAGAATACAGCTTTTACCTTTTAATTACAGTGGTATGTGGGGGGCTTCCATTCCCAATAGTGGGGTAGGTTGCATTGTTACTTCATCTTCCAACCTCAGTTACCAAAGGGAAAGTGGTTAGAGAATGGTCCACTTTGATCAGCAATAACAAGAGGAGACCAGGGGAACATCCATCTAATGAAGAAAGGAAAACTCAAAGATCTGCTTCTTTTATGATAGGGTGTGTGTACATACACGAGAGAGACAAAGATGGAGACAAAGGCAGAAAGAGATAGAGAGAAGCACCCTCAAAAGGGCCCATTACATCCCAGTCCTTTTTTCTCCAGCTCTTCGTTCCCATGGATCCTGGGCATCAACGCACATGAATCCAGATTTCACATGACCCGGGAATCGGAATCCATGATTAGCCATGTGGCTTGAGCCTTGCAGGTCCCTGCATTACCAATGCACCACTGCCAGTTCTTTGTTCTTGTCTCAGAGACCCAATCCCTAAGAAACGGACTGAGCCAGACCTGAAGGCCTCTCTGCAGCATGAGTTCTCTGGTGGTGATTAAAAGTGGAGCGCTGACTAAAGGCTTTCCCACACTGATGACATTCATAGGGTTTCTCTCCGGTGTGAACTCTCTGGTGCACAATAAGCTGTGAGCTGTCACTGAAGGCTTTCCCACAATCGTTGCATTTATAGGGTTTTTCTCCAGTATGGGTTCTCTGGTGTACCATGAGGCTGGAGCTGTAACTGAAGACCTTCCCACACTCGTTACACTCATAGGGTTTCTCGCCAGTGTGGATTCTCTGGTGTATAATGAGGTGTGAGTTCTGATTGAAGGATTTTCCACACTCATTGCATTTATAGGGCTTCTCACCTGTGTGAAGCCTCTGGTGCCGAATAAGACATTTGCTCAGGCTGAACGCCTTACCGCACTCACTACATTCAAACGGTTTCTCTCCAGTATGAATTCGCTCATGGTCAACAAGCTGAGAGTTCTGATTGAAAGCCTTCCCACACTCACTACACTTGTATGGTTTTTCCCCCGTATGGAGGCTCTGATGTCGTATCAGACACTTACTCCGACTGAAGGCCTTGCCACATTCATGACACTCATAAGGCTTCTCCCCGGTGTGCATTCTCTGATGGTCAGCACGGTTTCTATTGGAGCAGAAAGCTTTCCCACACTCACTGCACTTGTAAGGCTTCTCACCAGTGTGGAGGACCTGATGTCGGACAAGACTTTTACTCCGAATGAATGCCTCTCCACACTCCTTGCACTCATACGATCTCTCCCCAGCATGGGTTCTCTGGTGGTCGGTAAGTTGGGAACTCTGAGTGAACGCTTTTGCACATTCCCTACATTTATATGGTTTCTCCCCATTATGGAGAAGCTGGTGTTGAATGAGGTGAGAGCTGTGCCGATAGGTCTTCCCGCACATGCTACATGCATAGGGTTTCTCCCCAGTGTGGGTTCTGCGATGAACGATTAGCTGAGAGGTCTGCCGGAAGGACTTACCACACTCGTTACACTCAAAAGGCTTCTCTCCAGTGTGGATTCTCTGGTGGCCAATGAGGTGGGAACTCCGATTAAAAACCCTGCCACATTCATCACACTCATAGATCTTCTGTCCCTTCAGGACTCCTTGATGTTCATCAGGACTGGAGGACAGATTTAGATGCTCCTCTGCCTCCTCAGGTCCCTCACATCTGTCGTTGGTGGATTTTTTCTTATCCTCATTGGTCCTTTCTAAGAAATCACTTTCCAGTCTGCTCCCATCTTTATCTGAGGTTTGCCCGTCTAGCTCCTCAAAAGTATCTTCACAGGCATCTCCAGCCTCTGGTCCCCCAGGGGCCACCCCAGAGAGTCCCCCTTGTGTCCTTTCAGATGACCTCAATCCTCTGGAAATTTCCTGCTCGGGAGTCAACTCTGAAGACTCCATCCTGTTATCCCCTGTTGCCGAAAGAAAGAAGAAATGTTTTACTCACTCGCTGTCCTTTGAGGAAACCGTCAGCAGAGCCTGGGTATCTGAAAAGGTCCCGTACCGGCTAAGGGATGGGGCGGCGCGCTGAGAACAGAGAATGGGAGGAAGCTCATTTTTCCCTTCAGTGACAGAAAGATGAAGGGGGAGATGGTCAGTCGAGGGGGGTGGACAGAGACCAGATGGATGAGTGACGAGCCAGCACAGCCAAGGTGTAAGGGCGCCAGGCCTGCAAGGGACCAGACTGGGAAGCACAGTGTGCTCTCACAGAAGTCATTCTGGTGCTCTTTTGCAAAATGATGAACTCTAGGCCCAGTGGCTTCAAGGCCCTGTTTTCCAGTCTTCTCCAGCTGGTCCATTTGTTCTGGATACCTATTTCTCTAAGTCTCATAGCACTTAGCTCCTAACTTACAATAACCTGAGTGGCTCTCAATTCCTAAACAATAATTAAAAAAAAAAATCTAACTAAGCCATTTTATGTCAGTCAATAATGGAGGAAAGAGAATGTGATACATGTTAAAGCTGGGTGACAGAGGGTCATTGTATGACACAGAGGGTCAAACTATTCTCCACTTACCTGTATTTGGATATTTTTAGTAAAAATTTTTAAAAAAGGATGTAACAAAGAGACGTACACATTGTGGATTCCACGTTCCTGGGGAGCTCATTACCTATAGTGGCCACGCTGCAGTCGTGTTTGGGCTTCATGCTCCAGTACCAGGTTCTCTGACCAAGGGCTGGACCCTTCCACTTCGGAGGACCGTGCACACACAGGTCGTCATATGCTGCACACTCCTGGAATGACAAGCCCCTGCTGCTCAGAAAGAAGGGCAGTCAGCGGGGTACGGAGGGCACAGGGTTGGAGCTCTGAGTGGACAAAGGGCCGGGAGAGGAGCAAGGGTGATGGCCAGAAAAGGACCAGTTCAGGGCAAGTGAGAGTCCATCACCCCAGCAGCAGCAACCCAGCTCTAGGAAGCAGCAGGCAGGAGGGGGGCCTGGG